CCGTTTGGGCACGCCGCGCGGTAAGGTTGCGCAGTGTATGTCTTTGTTGCGTTATCACTGACGTCATATGACGTATCGGACTGTGATTGGCCATGCATCCCTACCCCCCTCTGCTGCTAGCTGTAATTGGCTTAAAGTATTATGACGTGTCCACCCGGGGGAGGGAGGGAGGGAGGGAGGAAAGACGACGCTTGACCTAGCCGCGGCAGTTTCATCCCTCCAGGCCGCTCCGTGTATACGTGAACCCATTGTTCTGTGAAATGGCTTCCGCCGGACCACCACCGCCACCAGAGAGAGACCTTTCCTTACCTGGACCCAGCCACCCTAAGCCCAAGAAGACACGCCGTGGTCTAAGCTACGAAGTGAAGTACCAGATCATTCAAGATTTGGAGAAAGGAACACGGCAAGTTGATCTCGCGCGCCAGCATGGCGTCAACGAATCTACGATTCGCACTATCAAGAAGGATGCAGCCAAGATCAAAGAGCACATGAAAATCACAAAGTCTGCAGGTGCTTCAACAATCAGGTATTGCCAGAACAGGGTGCTGGCAAAAGTGGAAAATTTGCTGGTGAGTTATTTGATTCGTCAGTCGCGACGCAACATGGCGGTGGACACGCGCTCAGTGCAGGAGTACGCACGTGAGCTATACGCAGCAGTGTCAAGTAAGCTGGGAATTGCAGAGCCCAAACCCTTCAATGCTGCCTCTGGTTGGCTGCATAGGTTTAAGAAGAGGAACAAGATCACCAACATCAACATTGGTGGTGAGGAAGCGAGTGCTGACCGTGTGGCGGCTAGAAATTTTCCTCCATTCTTATGTGAGATTATGGAGGAAGGACAGTACACCGACGACCAGGTGTTTAACATGGACGAATCTGGTCTTTTCTGGAAAAAGCTACCGTCCAAGACCTTTGTTGTAAAGAATGCCAGCAAGATTCGGGGCCGGAAGATGCAGAAGGAATGCATCACCGTCCTGTTTACCACCAATGCCTCCGGTACCTGTAAACCAAAGTTATCGGTGATTCACACAGCCCGCAAGCAGCACGCCTACAAGAATATGGACAGAAACAAGCTTAATGTCCACTGGCTAACCGCACTACAAGCAAATATTTGGCATGAGCATGGGTAATTGTCTTTCTGCTCCTCTAGCCTGTATTTATATGGAGTTTTTTGAGTCTAGATTACTACCCAATATAGTGGACTTTATTCCTCCATGGTATAGATATGTAGATGATGTTCTTTGTCTTTGGCCTAGAAACAGTGACCCATTGGAATTTTTAGACAAGCTTAATGATATTGTCCCAAGTATCACATTCAAAATTGAAAGAGAAATAAATGGATCCCTTCCATTCCTTGATATGCTTATCATGAGAAATGGCCAAAACTATAAATTTAAAGTATATAGAAAGCCCACACAGATAGACAGTTTCATTCACTATTTATCGAATCACCTTGAGTCTACCAAAATGTCAGTTTTTTCTGCTATATTCTTAAGATGTCTGCGAATTTGTGACTCTGAATTTATTGACGATGAATTGAAACACATTCGTTCCATTGCACAGAAACTCGGATACCCTTCTGTGTTTGTTGATCTTTGTTTTAAAAGGGCTAAAAAATCCTTTCATTCCTCTCAAACCAGACAAGTTCCTACACTTAAGAATATTTTGACTCTGCCCTATCGTAATGAACTTGTCCCGTTAGTTCGGTCCCTCAAGCTTCTAAATATTAATGTTGTTTTCAAGTATGACTCTACCATTACCAATATGTTAATAAGGAATAGCCCAAGTTTGAATGTAAATGGAAGTGTTTATTGTATTCCATGTAGCAAATGTAATTGTAATTATGTAGGACAAACAGGAAAAACACTGCAGCTCAGAATCAAACAACATAAGTATAATATCAGAACAGCATCTGAAAGCAGTGCCTTGTTCGTTCATGTTAGGAATAATAATCACCCCATTGCTTGGGAAAAAAGCTTAGAAGTATTTAAATCATCTTGTGTCACAGAAAGACTTCTGGTTGAAGCTAGTTTGATTAAGGAATTAAAATCAATAAACCTTAGTGATGGTCAGTTCAAAACTGATAATATGTTACATAAATTTATTTGTCAGTGGCCCAAGGTTAAAAATGCTTTGAAAACCTTTGATCTAGATGTATGATAGTTATTTTGTGGGTCCCTTATTTTTGTCCTGACCTGACTAGTCACGTCACCCCCTTCTCTTAAGCTCCTCTACGTGTGTGTTGGTGTGGGGATTAGTGGATGACATCATTATGACCTGACCTCATGTTTTTAAGGTCACCCTGTATATTTAAGCCTCTCTCTGTCCATGTAGTCCAGTTGCCTCTGAAGATGTCTTGAATAAAGACGAAAGCTAAGGTGCTCCGTTGTTTCCATTTTCCCGTGTGATTTTATCAAGATTTATCTTATCCACGTTTTCATTGTGGATTTACATGATAGATATATATATACAGTTGTACCCCACTTAACGCGGTCAATTGAACCCAGAGGGTCCCGCGTTAAGTGAAAACCGCGTTAAGTGAATAACAGAACATATGGGATTAATTCCAATAGAACCCAGCCCGACCCCCAAACTCCACTTTTTGACGACAAATAACTATGTTGTAGTAAAAATAACATCTTAATTTTATGATGGTACATGCACACAATTAATACTTAAGAGAAATAGAGAAATACAGTCGCCAAGTTAATGTCCATTCAAATAATGGACTCAACTCCCTCCCCCTCTTCTCACACTACACTCACTGGCTCTTCCCTCTGAGAAATTTTTGGGGGAAAACCAGGTATAGTAATAAATAATTCCTCAAACTAAAGTTAGGATAATATAATTGACATTGCTGGATTCCTTGTAAGACCAGGAATATTTTGAATATAAATGTCATATATTTTGGACAAAAGATAACATAATTACCTAGAGAACAATTTTTATCTAAAAATTGTATGTTTAATGCAAAATATATGTTGTTTATATTCAAAATGATCAGCAAATTGTAAGAATTCCAGCAATGTAAATTATATTCTGGCCGGATAATTTGTATGAATTTTATGAGCTAAAACAAATATCTTCAGTTAATAAAAAAAAAATATATTCTTCGACACTATCTGTCAATCAAAGTACCCCACCTTGCCTTCCCCCCTCTTCCAACCGCGTGGTCAGTCCCAACCCTCCCCCCCACCCCCCACCAATCCTCCATTCAAGAGTTTTTAACATTTAGTATTAAATAATACCTCAGATTAAAGTTAGGATAATATAATTGACATTGCTGGATTCCTTGTAAGACCAGGAATATTTTGAATATAAATGTCATATATTTTGGACAAAAGATAACATAATTACCTAGAGAACAATTTTTATCTAAAAATTGTATGTTTAATGCAAAATATATGTTGTTTATATTCAAAATGATCACCAAATTATAAGAATTCCAGCAATGTAAATTATATTCTGACCGGGTAATTTGTATGAATTTTATGAGCTAAAACAGGCAGTCAGGCAGGGTGGCGTGGTGGGGTGGTGCGAATCTAAAAATAGCTTTGTACGACACTACCATGTATATGATGAAAAAATGCTATGAAAAGTTCAGTTTCAAGTAATCAAGGTGATATGCAAATAAGTGAAAGCGCTAAGCGGTAATATTGTATATATATATATATATATATATATATATATATATATATATATATATATATATATATATATATATATATATATATATATATATATATATATATATATATATATATATATATATATATATATATATATATATATATATATATATATATATATATATATATATATATATATATATATATATATATATACAAGGTGAGAAGGCTACTACCTTACCCTCTGACCTGACTACTGACCGTTGCGGTGCTTTTTAAAGATTAGTAGGGTCATTACCTAATACATGACCATTGTGGACCTGATCTCATCCTCCTCTGTATATATACACCTTGTTTTGTACTTCTCCTTAGTCTGTACTCACCCCTGAAGATGTGAATTACACGAAAGCGCTTGGGAACCTCGTGTTTTCTTCTTTCCTTGTGGTTATCAGCATATACCTGGATCACACGCACCCACAGTGATTTACTTGCATATATATATATATATATATATATATATATATATATATATATATATATATATATATATATATATATATATATATATATATATATATATATATATATATATATATATATATATATATATATATATATATATATATATATATATATATATATATATATATGTTTGTGTAAAATGTATGTAGTAAGTACGTAATCTTTTTCACTCAAATCCAAATGAAACACCACAATTAGAATACGGTGGTAGCTGTTGTATAAACAGTCGGAACACAGTCCCACCACCGAGACGAGGGAACACTCCCACCACCGATCGTCTCGTTCGAAGCAAGCATATAAATTAAAGAAAATACTTGCAGTGTGTTTAATATGTTACAGTATATTATAATTAAATAAATAAACAAATATATCGGTAAATCCATTTCAAGTAAATGGAAAAATTTTACTCGACACAGACATTAGTTCCAGTTACCGGTAAATAGCAGACACTTAAGTGACGTCACTAGTGTTTACACTACACCAGCGGGTAACATTTGATGACATTACTTGAAGTGAATTGGCCTTATTTTAAAAAACTAAGGATGGTTGGTAAAGGACTACTGAGTCAGTGGGTAAGTGTCACATTTGGGGTACTGGTCTTATACAGCGAATAGAGCTCAAAAGCTACTTTTTAAATGGAAATTTGGGGGGGCCGTCTTATGTACCCCGACGCCTTATAGGCCGAGATATACGGTATATATATATATATATTTTAACTAAGGAAGATCTAGCACTCTCCAAAGCAGTGATTGGCCGGTTGAAAGTCATATATATTAATTACAATAAACATTGTAACATTTTATTTGGCTAACACCAACATTAAGGGTTAATATGAGAATTGCCTTCACTTACCTCCCTGAACTGTCTTCTAATGTAAGTCTTAAGAGTATCTGTGAATTTGGACTCCTCCTGGCACCACTCCTCAAGCTCCAACTGGGAGAAGAACTTAGCCTCCTGTTCTGGCTGAAGACAAATAATAAGTTCATCAATATTAATTTATCAAATTTAATTAATATGATGTAACATGGATTAATAGTGGCTGTAAAACTATGTACGACCACAATAAAGTTGAGGATGTTTTAAGAATATATATGACAATATAAATCATATGGACAAGGAATATATAACAGAGCCTAACCTAAACTAACATAGCCCAGCCTAAACTAAACTAACATAACTAACCTGAACTATTCCAACAACCTAAATTAACCTGGACAAACCTAACCAACTGGGATAACCTAAACTAACCCAACAACCTAAACTAACATAACCAAACTAAACTAACCAAACAACCAAAACTAAAAAAAATAAAACATAATCTAACTAATCTAAGCTAACAACCTAAACTAATATAACCTAAGCTAACTTAACTTAACCTAACCTAACCAAACTCAACAATCTTAACCAACATAACCTAACTAAACTAACAACCCAAACTAACATAACCTAACAATCTAAACTTACATAACTTAACAACCTAAACTAACATAACCTAACAATCTAAACTTACATAACTTAACAACCTAAACTAACATAACCTAACATAAACGAACATAACCTAACAACCTAAACTAACATAACCTAACATAAACTAACATAACCTAACAACCTAAACAAACATAACCTAACAACTTAAACTAACATAACCTAACAACCTAAACTAACAACTCAACAAATTTAAAACCAACATAAACCTAAACAACCTAAAACTAACATAACCTAACAACCTAAACTAACATAACCTAACAACCTAAAACAAACAACTCAACAACTTAAACTAAATACAACTCAACAACCTAAAAACTAACATAACCTTCAACAACTTAAACCAACATAACCCAACAACCTAAAACTAACATGAATCCCAACAACTTAAACCAACATGTCCCAACAAACCTAAACCAATATAATCCCAACAACCTAACCAACATAACCTAACAACCCAACAAACATAACTTAACAACTTAAACTAACATAACCTAACAACCTAAACAAACATAACCTAACAACTTAAACTAACATAACCTAACAACCTAAACTAACATAACCTAACAACCTAAACTAACATAACCTAACAACCTAAACTAACATAACTTAACAACTTAAACTAACATAACTTAACAACTTAAACTAACATAACTTAACAACTTAAACTAACATAACCTAACATAAACTAACATAACCTAACAACCTAAACAAACATAACCTAACAACTTAAACTAACATAACCTAACAACCTAAACTAACATAACCTAACAACCTAAACAAACATAACTTAACAACTTAAACTAACATAACTTAACAACTTAAACTAACATAACCTAACAACCTAAACTAACATAACCTAACAACCTAAACAAACATAACCTAACAACTTAAACTAACATAACTTAACAACTTAAACTAACATAACTTAACAACTTAAACTAACATAACCTAACAACCTAAACTAACATAACCTAACAACCTAAACAAACGTAACTTAACAACTTAAACTAACATAACCTAACAACCTAAACAAACATAACTTAACAACTTAAACTAACATAACCTAACAACCTAAACTAACATAACCTAACAACTTAAACTAACATAACCTAACAACCCAAACCAACATAACATAACAACCAAAAACTAACATAATCTCAACAACTTAAAACTAACATAACCTAACAACTTAAACTAACATAACCTAACAACCTAAACTAACATAACCTAACAACCTAAACAAACATAACCTAACAACCTAAACTAACATAACCTAACAACTTAAACTAACATAACCTAACAACTTAAACTAACATAACCTAACAACTTAAACTAACATAACCTAACAACTTAAACTAACATAACCTAACAACCTAAACTAACCTAACCTAACAACTTAAACTAACATAACCTAACAACCTAAACTAACATAACCTAACAACTTAAACTAACATAACCTAACAACTTAAACTAACATAACCTAACAACTTAAACTAACATAACCTAACAACCTAAACTAACATAACCTAACAACCTAAACAAACATAACTTAACAACTTAAACTAACATAACCTAACAACCTAAACAAACATAACTTAACAACTTAAACTAACATAACCTAACAACCTAAACTAACATAACCTAACAACTTAAACTAACATAACTTAACAACCTAAACTAACATAACATAACAACCAAAACTAACATAACTTAACAACTTAAACTAACATAACCTAACAACCTAAACTAACATAACCTAACAACCTAAACTAACATAACCTAACAACCTAAACTAACATAACCCAACAACCTAAACTAACATAACCTAACAACTAAACTAACATAACCCAACAAACCTAAATTAACATAACCCAACAACTTAAAACCAACATAACCCAACAACAACTTAAACCAACATAACCCAACAACCCAAACAAACATAACTCCAACAACTTGAACTAACATAACCCCAACAACTTAAACTAACATACCTAACAACAACTTAAACTAACATAACCTGAACAACTTAAACTAACATAACCCAACAACCTAAACTAACATAACCTAACATAACCTAACAACTTAAACTAACATAACCTAACAACTTAAACAAACATAACCCAACAACTCTAACCAATGATAACCTACCAACTTAAACTAACATAACCTAACAACTTAAACTAACATAACCTAACAACCTAAACAAACATAACCTAACAACTTAAACTAACATAACCTAACAACTTAAACTAACATAACCTAACAACTTAAACTAACATAACCAAACAACCTAAACTAACATAACCTAACAACTTAAACTAACATAACTTAACAACTTAAACTAACATAACTTAACAACTTAAACTAACATAACTTAACAACTTAAACTAACATAACCTAACAACCTAAACTAACATAACCTAACAACTTAAACTAACATAACCTAACAACTTAAACTAACATAACCTAACAACTTAAACTAACATAACCTAACAACTTAAACTAACATAACCTAACAACCTTAACTAACATAACCTAACAACTTAAACTAACATAACCTAACAACTTAAACTAACATAACCTAACAACCTAAACTAACATAACCTAACAACAGAAACTAACATAACCTAACAACCTAAACTAACATAACCTAACAACTTAAACTAACATAACTTAACAACCTAAACAAACATAACTTAACAACTTAAACTAACATAACCTAACAACCTAAACTAACATAACTTAACAACTTAAACTAACATAACCTAACAACTTAAACTAACATAACTTAACAACTTAAACTAACATAACCTAACAACCTAAACAAACATAACTTAACAACTTAAACTAACATAACCTAACAACCTAAACAAACATAAACCTAACAATCCTAAAACCAACATAACCTAACAACAACCCAAACAAACATAACCCAACAACTTAAACTAACATAACCTAACAACCAAATCACATAAATCAACAAACTAAACTAACATAACCCAACAACTTAAAAACAAACATAACCTAACAACTTAAAAACTAACATAACCCAACAACCCAAACAAACATAACCCAACAACTTAAACCAACATAAATCCCAACAACCCAAACCAACATAACCCAACAACCCAAACCAACACAACTTAACAACTTAAACCAACATAACCCAACAACCTAAAACAAACATAACCCAACAACTTAAACCAACATAACCCAACCCAAACCAACATAACTTAACAACTTAAACCAACATAACTTAACAACCTAAACCAACATAACCCAACAACCTAAACCAACATAACTCAACAACTTAAACCAACATAACCCAACAACTTAAACCAACATAACCCAACAACCCAAACAAACATAACTTAACAACTTAAACCAACATAACCCAACAACCTACACCGATAACCCAACAACCTAAACCAACATAACCCAACAACTTAAACCAACATAACCCAACAACCCAAACCAACATAACCCAACAACCCTAAACTAACATAACCTAACAACCTAAACCAACATAACCCAACAACCCAAAACAAACATAACCTAACAACTTAAACCAATACAACCTAACAACCCAAACTAACATAACCCAACAACTTAAACCAACATAACCCAACAACTTAAACCAACATAACCCAACAACCTAAACCAACATAACCTAACAACCTAAACTAACATAACATAACAACCAAAACTAACATAACTTAACAACTTAAACTAACATAACCTAACAACCTAAACTAACATAACCTAACAACCTAAACTAACATAACCTAACAACTTAAACTAACATAACCTAACAACTTAAACTAACATAACCTAACAACCTAAACTAACATAACATAACAACTTAAACTAACATAACATAACAACCAAAACTAACATAACTTAACAACTTAAACTAACATAACCTAACAACCTAAACTAACATAACCTAACAACCTAAACTAACATAACTTAACAACTTAAACTAACATAACCTAACAACTTAAACTAACATAACCTAACAACCTAAACTAACATAACCTAACAACCTAAACTAACATAACATAACAACCAAAACTAACATAACTTAACAACCTAAACTAACATAACCTAACAACTTAAACTAACATAACCTAACAACCTAAACAAACATAACCTAACAACCTAAACTAACATAACATAACAACCAAAACTAACATAACCTAACAACATAAACTAACATAACTTAACAACTTAAACTAACATAACCTAACAACCTAAACTAACATAACTTAACAACTTAAACTAACATAACCTAACAACCTAAACTAACATAACCTAACAACTTAAACTAACATAACTTAACAACCTAAACTAACATAACATAACAACCAAAACTAACATAACCTAACAACCTAAACTAACATAACCTAACAACCCAAACAAAACATAACCTAACAACTTAAATCAACACAACCCCAACAAAACCAACATAACCAAAACAACCTAAAACTAACAT